AAGACGATATCTTTATGACATATATGTATTATATATATATATATATATCGCAATACAGTACTCTTTTATTAAACACCCATCCTTGATCACTGACTATTCAGCCTTCCATGTGAACTTCATCTTTTGTTTTTCGTAGTTTTCCTCATTGCGATTTCAGTATGACGCTGGAGTTTATCCAATAGGGTCTTTGTCTTGACTCAGAGCAGCCTTCAATTTCAATGAGCGCATCATGGTGATTTGTCATGGTAAAGAATGAACCTTTGGTTTATTTTGTTGTCAGGTCTCAGTGGTTTCAATTTATAATACCCACGACACTTTCCTTCCTAGTGGTGTGTTTGATTCCTACCTTTTGGCCACCGATTGAAATTACCAAGTAAACGGAGGATGTAAAATGTGAACGGTGATACCAAGGTAAAGATACAGAATCTAGTCGAATTAAACTTGCAAATACATTGAGCAGATGCATGTTCCGTAATTCCACTATGCGTTGGTTGGATGTCTTGTTAGTAATTATATCTAACTACTTGCTGATAGAAAGTCAAATTTTATTGTATTTATCGTTGAATCTCTCACTCCAATGCAAACTGATAAAGTGACCTTAGTCGAAATGTGCGATAAAAGTAACACGCAGGGAGTAATTCCGAATCGAACTGAATAAAGCCTTGACAAATTTCTCAAGCGCAATTGATGGGCAAAAATATCTACTTGTTCGTCACATGCGGTTCCTTGAGATGAAATCTAGGGGTTTGATCAAGTGATGAAAAGACGGAAACACATCCTTGTATGCAAGAAATACCATTTGGAAGGATCAGACTCACCGAACTAAAATATAGTACACCTCCTGTCGTGTTGCTAGCTTTTTAAAATATTTCACAAATTCTTGCCTATCAAGACGTCCTTTGTGATCCCGGGAACGGAATTCACTTTCCTAATTTATGAAAAAAGAGGAACATGTTATTACAGGCCAGATAAAGATTGAACGAAGTGGTTGATACAAAATCTCAAGAAACAAAGTGGACTCACTCACACAATAATGCTCTGTTTGAAATTTTATGAATGTGAAACACAATCACATGTGATAAACGTTTTTTGTTTTATACATTCGGATAAAGTTATTTTGACTCAGAATGAAATTTTCAGATTTGTTTTTAACATTGGACAAAAATAATTCACTAGCTTACTCATCGTACTTCTATATTTAATCGATCGCATTTATCAGGGGATATAATTTCCCACCGTCTACTCATGTTAGATTGAAAGTGTAAGCTAGTTTGCCATGGCTTTTTGCACCGCAACTCATGCGAATAAAGAACGCCGGAAGTATATGAAAGTAACCTTTGATTCACGGAAACCGATCTTCCAATTATCACTTGCAATAGTTTATTCTGTAGCAAGTACAATCGATAAACTCTGGAGTGCAAACTCCGTACCAGACTGGTGACAGATGGCTTCCAATCAGCATTTTCTGTCTACACGTCCATCCACATGCTGATAACATGTTTTTTTTCTGATTTTTTCACGTACCTCATAAAGAGTGAGACGGATGAGAGTACGTGGTATACATTTTTCCCGGGAAGTACTCATAAAACAGGGGAAGAGATAAAGCTATTATCATAGTTATTGAATCCCAAAATGATTCAGTGCATGCCAAAGAAATCCAATGGGATGTAGAAGTAACCTTATTGTTCAATTCCGAGTTGGTATAAAACGCACGTAGTCAGTTTCAAATATTGCTTTGTTCAGAGGTTTTGCGATACATCATTTCACACTTGTCTACAAAGACTAGTTATGTATGTTTTGACAACCCCTTCCGTGGTATACGGTACATCAACCAGATTTTCATTCAGGAATTTTACAACTCTTCCTGTACAGACATGTACATCTTGTTCTCTTTGTGGCAGTGAAATTCCTTATCAAGTAGCATATCTCAGCACATTTGCAAACATATTTGATTGATCATGATGTGCTTGAATACTACGGTTTACACATTTCAACAACTTACGTGCAAGCGATAGAGAATATCCAGATTACTATAAAAACCACTGAACTTAGTCTACACTATGAAAACAATCAGCCTTGATGAAATTATAAACGCTGTATGAGATATCTCGGAAGAGAACGAATAGATCAGTCGTTCTTTGAACTACAATTGTGTTTGTTTGATGACTAATACATTCATAATGAGTTGAAATTTTCTAGAAGCAATACTCATATCCTCAAACTGCAACAGAAACAAATTGAGGGATTCAACTGTTAGTTGAGCTATTTGCATGGGGGTTATTGAATGTGCAAAAGTACAAATTCACGGTATGTCTATCTTTAGCTGCCATTCATTTCTGATTTACAATTCTACCCGGAAGTGATTAGACTAGTGAACGAACCAGTCACCTGTTCAATGGATAGGATTTGCAGAACCAATTCACATTTTGCTACTGAAAGTTGACCCGATTGCGACCAGAATGGAATGAGTGGATGGATCAAAACCGTTGGATTTTCAAATCTATCTTTTCATTTGTTTCTAAACTACTGAATAATTCAACACATTTATTTTTAAGTAAATTGTCTGATGTCATGTTTATTGTGCCTATTTATTGTTTTCTCTTTGGGAATTGAACTTGAATTTGTTTTCAAAAATCTGTATACGGAGTCAGAATTTCCCTTTTTTATTTAGGAAAATATTTTCCATATAACAACCGATAACACAACTGCTACTGTCACGTTGATAAAGATATTGAACCAGAAGCTTGAAGTGTTCATGAAGGAAGTGAGACAAATACTATAATTTTGGCAAAAACATTTGTCTTTTCTTTTGTTGCGATTCAAGCAACTGATTAAAGAACGACTGTATGTATTTTGGAAAACTACCGAAAAGGGACGATCGATTATGATGGAGAATGTCACAAACTATCGTAATTGAGTTCGCTGCAACCGATAAATATCTCAGGTACATTCACCATTTTCAAACTGTAGAATGTGGATTTTTTGGCATGTTTTATGTCTCTTAAAATGAAAGTATTACAGAACAAAAAGCACGTTACAAAAATTGGTGTTCCGAAAAAGAAACACTGATTTGGTGATTCAGGCGCCAGGCACAAACATTAGTACCAAGAGCTGTTAGTTAATCGTTCCGAATTATAGTATTAATTTCACACCGATGCAGTTATGTCGTATTGTGCTATCTAACAAAATGTATATTTGCTCTACCTGCGATAGGTAATTTTCTGAGAAAAAGTTTTCCCGATTTTTAAATAGTCTCCTATATCTGAGGGAATTCTTCTTTGAAAACTAACTTGACACAAAGTGTATCTTTCCAATTCCGGATTAACGGATGGCATAAGATAAGGATCGGCAAGTTGAGCTGAATTACATGAATATACAGATGTTAGTAATATTCTATTGACGTTCAATTTATCATTGAACCCGTTTGGTTAGCATCCCCGCATTTGGTACTTTTATTGATTATTCCATAAATTATTGCATAGTTCGTTGACTTTTATTGACCATCTCTCAAAATAACTTAAAGCAGTCGAAAATACTACTAGTCATATCGATTTAAAGTTACTTACAATGGACTGAAAACCCGATACCGATCAATTCAGTGGTTTAGGTTGGAGTTTGACTCCTCGGTCGTCTGCCGAAATAAACATGTTTCACTTATGGCATTATCGGTTGGGTGATGTTATTTAATAGCACGCGGTAGTGTACATTGTAAGGTTGCTTAAATGTTTAACGGCTTTTCAAACCAAGTGAAAAATAAGGATTGTGTCGGGTTTGAAACACCTAACTGTTGTATTTTCAGCCCTACCTCTGAATAACTATCGTTATCAGAAGCTACAATTTAAAAGGATATGTAATCTCACTGACCGCTAGGTTCATGCAGATTTACTTTGACACCCACTATCAAGAAAAACCTTTGAAATTAAGTCACTGATCGCATTTTCCTTGTGTTGCCGCGGTTGATCTATAAATGGTTCGTCCTCCACGTAACATTCCTTGGTTATATGATCGGCACTAGACTTGTTTTCACATTACTGATTGTCATAAAGGTGCGCAGCACTCTTTTCTTCTGTTATGTTGTCCTTCACTGTTCTTTGTTTGAAAGAAATGATATAAACAAACCACACCTTTGAAAAATGCTGAATATTGTCTTTAAGAGTAAGTGACTGTAAGTAACTGTTTCCTTTTTAAAAACAGTTTTCTCTTTTAATCCGATGGAAATGTTTGTGATAACCCACAAAGAGCATTGGACACTTGCTTCGTCCTGTTTGAGACTCGTCAGCAGTGAGTACTTTTTGTGAACCTCCTGGTTGGTACGTCAAGTTCTTACCCCTGAGCTACAAGGTCGACGGTCAACAGATGTCCGGTGGTCTTTGTCGATTATCACAAACATTTCCATCGCATTTAAATGCATTTAACTAGTGGGGATTTAACGATCTCCCGAGGATTGAAACCCACACCCAGGATCATCAACAGTAGCTGGTGTCTGTGAATACCCGAATGGGCTAATCCAATCATTCACCGTCTAAAAATATTCGTTTCTAAAAATACAGATACACACCGGTCACCCTTATTTTACTTTACAAACTGCGTCCAATTGAATCTAGTTTATCTTCGCCTTGGACAGGCACCACATGCATATTAATACATGGTGAACAAAGATCACATTAACACAATCGGTTTTCTGCTGCCGTAAGCAGCGTGGTGTGTGTGCGAACTCGTTTCTCGTCAGCTGCTGTTGCCCAACTTCTGTTGTGTGTGTCGGTGTACAGATGTTGGTTAAATTTTACCACTTTCATTGCTTACCACCTCATATTTTATTTTTAACATCTGGATTATTATGGTTATTTTAGAAATGATAACCAGTGAACTTATCTAGTGTTATCATGCGTTCCTTGTTCATCGAGCTTTGCGAACTAATCCATTTTTGCTTCTAAATTCTTGTCAGTGACTTCCGTGCTAACCAAAGGTTTTTATCCGTTACCAAACACACCTGAATCAATTTAAACAAGCTTCATACGAGCCAAAACGAATTTCAGTTCCTTCTTATAGGTCTTCTTGCAAAAGGAGTCTTTGCGTACTGCAGTCCACAAACTAACCTTTAGCTGTTGTCTCAGATGGGTAGCTGATAGATGAGGATTTAACGATCGAATCAAGCGGAGCGCATCGAATTCACTTAGATAGCCAGTGTTGCCATGATCCGCTTCGGTGAACACGCGTTGCAACCAGCTGAGATTCACGTCGAGAGCAACGGAATGAAAGAAAATAAAACATAATTCAGGTGTTATATTGTTTTCAATCACTGACCGTCAAAACGTTACTGATTGAAATTTAATTAAATTGATTCTAACTTGACAGGATTATGGAATATAATGGCCTCGTAACTTTTGCACATATATTCGATGTTTTCAGAATATGTTTATCATGGGTTTGTTACTTGCTAGGTGGGTGACTTATACCGTTCAATCACCTGTACTGATCTGGGAGAATTCGATGAAAAAATAAGTTAACCAGTGCAATGAACGTCAATCATCTTTTGCGGAGGTGGGAGATCATTTCATATTTTTGTTGTACAAAACAAGCTTTGAGATTACAACTAGTTTGCTTTGGTAACCTAAGAATCTCAGCACACAAACACCAAATAATTTCGCCTCATCATTGAACTGAATCCTAGAAAGGCGGATTTTCTGACTTCAAATACGTAATGATTGAAAACGCTTACCACAAAGAAGCCACAAATTCCATCTTATGTACTCACAATTTTCTTTCAATGCTCACAAAATATTACTCATTGTCCCAAGTCAGAAATGCCATTCAATACTTTGTGTGAAACACTCTTCAACCTAGGTCAGAATCGTTTAATTTAACTTCGTTTTGTGTGTTTGTGTATCATATTGGATTCAATCAGTAGTGGTTCATTATCAAATGTGACACCGTATACGCCAGATGATCAACTTTTACTTCAAATTTAACGACAGACATGTTTAAATGAAATCAAAGTTGTTTGTGAAATAAGCTTTCAAGTAACGGATTCTATTTTATTAAAGACACGGGCGCAGCCATTTTGATTTGGTTGAGAGTCGTATGCATTTAACACTGGAACTTTTGGTTCATGGTTGATTTTTGTATTTTCCATGTTTGTCAGGTTGTCTAGAAGCCCCCTCCAAGAGAAGTGAGAAGTGTGTCCTACCTGTGTATTGCGAACGTTAGTGAGTAGCCAGGAATTGTGTGGCCTTTCTGCGAAGACGATAATTGCATAAGAACTCGGACTGCATTTACAGGAATCAACCTGTCAGTGCATTTCGAGTGGATTCAAAACTGAGGTCAGTCCTAAATACTACATTATATCTAATTATTCCGTGTAACCTCCTGTTTGACATCACTTAGCAACAATCAATGGACGAACGTGTATGCTAAAAGTCCAAATTGTGAGCAAATTAATATAGATTAAAATTAAATCAAATTAATATAATTAAAAATTTCAACTGCAATATAGTCGTTCGAGAGCTATCTATGCCTATCAATCTGCTTATTGATTCAGACCAAACCAAACGGCTTTGAAAAAGCTTCATAAATGAAAGAAAATATCATCGAAGACATTTAAAATTATCAGTCAATAATTGATGTTAAAACGCTTGCAACTCAAGTGTGAATCGAAATTTACTAAAAAACAGACAATCCAAGAGAGAACATTTTACTTCATACAATTCTGTGCGAAATATTTTGGTAAATTATATGACTGAAAACTAATAATCAAATGTATCTCAAGCGATATACAATTTTTGGCAGGTAAAACTATATCTGCGTTTTATGTTACCGTACATTTCGGTTTCACTTGAAATGGGATCAGTCATTAAATAAGTTTTATTGTTTTAACGTGAGTGAACTGCATCATTTTGAATTGTGGATGCTTGACAACTGGCTCAAAATCTGTGAGTAGGGCCTGGAGCTGGTGGTTCATTGCATAATTATCGCTGACAAACGCACTTTAGCGCCCGATCAACACAGTATCGTGTGCAACCGATGTTATCAAAATCAGAAACCTTGACAACGATTGTGTATCCGAAAAATGATGTTGTATTCTAGAAGATAAATTATTTGGTAGATTTATCACTAAGTATATACTGGTAAGGATTGGCTGGTAACATAACCGACTAAAAGTATAGCTTACCGTTGGTAATTATGTGATTATATTTCTGCGTGTTCATAAAAGCCGTTGTGCAACATGACTGAATCACAGCAATGTCACAAAAATACATTAAAATTTGATAAATATATATATTCTCTGTTTCTAAGGTGAGACTGGCATGTGCAGCGTTATGCTATACTTCATACTGCCGCGTTCAACACGAGATTATAATATAGTTCAGTTATACCATTCAATGGACTTTCGATGGGTTTTATGATGGTTGTGATATATGGAGCTTTACATGGACAACACCATGGGGAGAAGATGGTTCGGATTTCATAAAATAACGTCTGGTCTGATGTGCTTGTTGGCACTGACAACCATGAAAACTGATCCGTGCTGGGTGTACCAGCAGGAGCCGAATGGAGCTGAACCCACTGCATCATTCAATAGGATGTTGATGTTCACAGGAAACTAATTGTCTCTGTGCCCGTTGGTGAACATTTTAAATTCTTCTTTGATGAAACAGTTCCCAATTTAGAAGACTCACCAAGACTGAAAACTCAAATATGGACCTAAAACACCTGCAGACTTAAACCACTGTTTATATGATTAAGTAGATTCGGTTACACCATGGGCAATCTCCAGTTTCGGCTCTGGTGACCTTCAAGCAAGCTTATTGATATATTTTGTACCGAACCATAAGACATACAAAAGATCGAAATACGACACCTGATTGATTAAATGGGTGAACTGATGCACCAGACCTGACGTCTTATTCCAGGGTAATTCAATCTCCTATAACATTGCATGCATTGTGTTTACTGGTGCTTCCACAATTTTTTTCTATTAACCTAATCCTTGTATTTTGATCTCCTCAATTACTCAAGGCCAATCTAACTTATACTGTCAATACTTAAAACATCAAAGTGTGTTCTACTCGAACTGCAATACTCAAATGATATCTGTTTCACTTTACATAACGTTCGTACATTAAACCAATTGATTGATAATATGAAAACAGGGTTATGCTTGTATTCGTGCTCGATGAAATCAAAACTATGACGAAAACATGAGACCCTTTTCGCGACCATTATAAATAAGAAAAATGTCATACTGGTAAATCCTAACAAGAAAAAACGGTTGATACACCCTTACCACTGCCAGGCTGTTCGATAAACCGAGTGTTGGTGAAATTGGAAGAACCATAAGTCTAAATCAAAATATTAGTGCAGTGTACATACAGATTCTGCGGATACAAACGGCCAAGCATAGCACGACGATGGTTAGCTGCCGTCCTTGTCACATCCTATCAAATGCATACTACTCCTAACATTTGTGCAACTAATGGTGCCTGAGGTATTCCTCAATAATTAACCAAAAGAACAGCGTTCGTAGTGACGGAAGAACCGCACTATATTAGTTAATCATGCCCCAAAATATGCAGAGTTGGCATTTGTTGAACGACTGGAACATTGGCAAGATGTCCATTAGTGTCAACATGAAGCCAAGATATTTGATTAATTGGAGAAATAAATTATGCCTAGCGGAGCTTTTAGTCTTGAATTAGACGATGATATCTAGAACGTAGTTTGACGTTGCCCCTAATATAATTAGGCAGCTAAAAATTCCACCTCACTAGTGACCTGAATTGGGAGAATCTTGGCATCTTTTACTGGTGTTACTTCATGAGTTACTTTTGTAAATGGAAACACTGAACCGGGAAACTGGTGTTATAAGTACCCGTTGTTGTCGAATGAGGCTGAATAACATATTTATCGTAGCCTAGTTGTATTCCTTTGTCCTGACCTGTTCATATTGAGATCGGCGCCAGACAAGTACTGATCAGGACAGGATTGAACCGTCAAACGCTCCCGGCGTATAGGTTAGAAACTGTATTACTGAACAGCGATCACGATTGTGCGAGTGATAAAAGTGACTGCAACTGTATCTGCTCAACAGCTTAATTCATTGTTATGAAAGGAATCTTACGTCATAATTATATACACCATATAACTGAACTCTTTAGAATCCGTGAGGAGTTTACTAGCAGAGATGTATCTTAAGGGGAATGAAGTTTTAACTAAATAACTGTCTGGGGTGCCTTAACAGATTATAAGAAAATGAAATTGTTTGCAATAGTGTTTCCGGTTTCACCCAGAATCATCCAGAGTCGTTTAGAAACTGCTCCTTAGCTCAACACTGAATTAAAAGTTAGCAATTTCTCATTTGGTTGGTACAGTTTGCCTTCCAGGTCGGGCCCAAGGAATGAGGATTGTCGTTGGACTGAGAAGCTAAGAAATATGGCCCAGAATAGAAGTCAGTTTCGCGAACGCTGTGCAGTCTGCCTGCCAAAATCCCGTGCCCCGTAAAAAGAACGCTAAACTAACACAAAAGAAATATCAAAGGTGTACGGTGAAACACCAAAAGATTTATTGGTTTTCCTGTACAGTTCAGTTCAGTTCAGTTTGTACAACCATTAACCGTGCACCTTCGTGTGGCGGTTTTGGTTGCTGTCTTTTGGCTGCCCATTTGGATGAAGAATAGGAGAAAAACAGGAAGGTTGAAAGTAGAGTATTCCTGTTGTCTAC